GGGAACACAACACAGGACTGATGTTTTAGATGAGGCTTTTCTTTAAGAAGAATTCTGGATTGCCATAAAATGTGAGATAAAGCCTACCAAGTAAAGCTGAAAGTCCATACAATTACTGTATACTGGAAGACCAGATGTATCCAGGACAGTTGGAAGTTGGGTGTGGAAACAATAGCCTGCTTTCTAAATAATCCTGAACTGATGTTCAGTGATATACTGTCTCTGACGGTTCCTTTTAGCTATGATGATTCAGTTACCGATAGATGAATTTGTGGATGATGGGTCTGATCCTCATAGCCATTAAATGTCATCATATTTTGTGGTAACAAATTCCACAATTTAATAATATATATCTCTAAGAAGTTTGTTTACTGGTTTCACCTCAGTCTATTGCCAGTGAGTTTCAACTGGTGATCCTGATTTCTAGGATTACAGCAGAAGGTTGCTTTTCCTTTTTCCCTTATAATTTTTAAAACCTCTATCATGACATAGTAATTGCCTTTTTCAAAGCTCCAAAGTGCTATAGCTTTTCCTTGTAGAGACTCCAGCTCATTTTGTTTTACAAAATAATGTTATTGCTTTCTGAAATAGTTTTCTGAGGTTTTGTCTGCCACATCTAACAGAAGTGAGGAACTTCTGATGCATTGATTCCTGGTTGCTCATGTTCCTCTGGTCTGTTATGCAAGGGCCTTTAGTTTTTTAGCACCCTCACAAGTTCAACACGTGTCTACAGTTTTTTAACTTTAGGCACATATTTAAACATACCAGTTTATGTAGACCTTCACTGAATAGTCCAACCAAATATCTGTTTCATGGGATGCAAAAATATTGTATATTTATGTGTGTATAGTGTATTTGTGTGTTGTGTGTACTGCACTGTTATTGTATACTGCTCTGAAATGTTTGAATCGAAGTGGTCTATACATATTCATTAATAAGTCATTGTAGCTCTTCTCGATATTCCCCTAAATCTTGCTTTAGAGGATTAAAATACCATTTATTTATTATTTCAAATATTTACACTGCCTTTTCTAAGGTTGTAGGGAATCAAGAGGAGGCTAGACTTTGGTCACACAAGTTGACTAAGAGTTCCTTCGTCTGTGGCAATAGTGAATTTATTGTTAATTCCTTTCATCCAAGTTTAATAAACCTTTGTTCTGCAAGAAACTCTTGTGTCTCTTCTATGGAGTCCGTTATGGAAGAAATATTTCTTTTGGACCCCAGGGGAACAGGAAGAGACCACAGTCTTCCTAGTGCTTTCCTAAATTTCATTTTAGAGAATTAGGGGACCCTTTAGATTACAGTGGGAAGTTCCAGGGCTGCAAGAGGAAGCAAAATCTTTTTATTTATTACAGTATTTCAAATATTTACATTGTGCCTTTTCTGATACTGTTAAAAGTAGCCTGGAAGAAAAATGTGCCTAGGATGATATGTAGTGTACAGATCGAGCAAAAATCTGCAGTAGACCAATTCTATAATGATTGTGTTTTTATCATGTAATACTGTACACTTCTCCCTTCAGCAGTGTGTTGGGGTGCAACACCCCCATGTAATTCAAAATCTGTGTATAACTCTTATGCCTCCCCCAAATGTAAGTACTGTAC